AGTGACTGCATTCACCCTGAAGTGACTGCATTCACCCTGAAGTGACTGCATTCACCCTGAAGTGACTGCATTCACCCTGAAGTGACTGCATTCACCCTGAAGTGACTGCATTCACCCTGAAGTGACTGCATTCACCCTGAAGTGACTGCATTCACCCTGAAGTGACTGCATTCACCCTGAAGTGACTGCATTCACCCTGAAGTGACTGCATTCACCCTGAAGTGACTGCATTCACCCTGAAGTGACTGCATTCACCCTGAAGTGACTGCATTCACCCTGAAGTGACTGCATTCACCCTGAAGTGACTGCATTCACCCTGAAGTGACTGCATTCACCCTGAAGTGACTGCATTCACCCTGAAGTGACTGCATTCACCCTGAAGTGACTGCATTCACCCTGAAGTGACTGCATTCACCCTGAAGTGACTGCCCCTGCATTCACCCTGAAGTGACTGCATTCACCCTGAAGTGACTGCATTCACCCTGAAGTGACTGCATTCACCCTGAAGTGACTGCATTCACCCTGAAGTGACTGCATTCACCCTGAAGTGACTGCATTCACCCTGAAGTGACTGCATTCACCCTGAAGTGACTGCATTCACCCTGAAGTGACTGCATTCACCCTGAAGTGACTGCATTCACCCTGAAGTGACTGCATTCACCCTGAAGTGACTGCATTCACCCTGAAGTGACTGCATTCACCCTGAAGTGACTGCCCCTGCATTCACCCTGAAGTGACTGCATTCACCCTGAAGTGACTGCATTCACCCTGAAGTGACTGCCCCTGCATTCACCCTGAAGTGACTGCATTCACCCTGAAGTGACTGCCCCTGCATTCACCCTGAAGTGACTGCATTCACCCTGAAGTGACTGCCCCTGCATTCACCCTGAAGTGACTGCATTCACCCTGAAGTGACTGCATTCACCCTGAAGTGACTGCATTCACCCTGAAGTGACTGCATTCACCCTGAAGTGACTGCATTCACCCTGAAGTGACTGCATTCACCCTGAAGTGACTGCATTCACCCTGAAGTGACTGCCCCTGCATTCACCCTGAAGTGACTGCATTCACCCTGAAGTGACTGCATTCACCCTGAAGTGACTGCCCCTGCATTCACCCTGAAGTGACTGCATTCACCCTGAAGTGACTGCATTCACCCTGAAGTGACTGCATTCACCCTGAAGTGACTGCCCCTGCATTCACCCTGAAGTGACGACTGCCCCTGCATTCACCCTGAAGTGACTGCATTCACCCTGAAGTGACTGCATTCACCCTGAAGTGACTGCATTCACCCTGAAGTGACTGCCCCTGCATTCACCCTGAAGTGACTGCCCCTGCATTCACCCTGAAGTGACTGCCCCTGCATTCACCCTGAAGTGACTGCCCCTGCATTCACCCTGAAGTGACTGCCCCTGCATTCACCCTGAAGTGACTGCCCCTGCATTCACCCTGAAGTGACTGCCCCTGCATTCACCCTGAAGTGACTGCCCCTGCATTCACCCTGAAGTGACTGCCCCTGCATTCACCCTGAAGTGACTGCCCCTGCATTCACCCTGAAGTGACTGCATTCACCCTGAAGTGACTGCCCCTGCATTCACCCTGAAGTGACTGCATTCACCCTGAAGTGACTGCATTCACCCTGAAGTGACTGCATTCACCCTGAAGTGACTGCATTCACCCTGAAGTGACTGCATTCACCCTGAAGTGACTGCATTCACCCTGAAGTGACTGCCCCTGCATTCACCCTGAAGTGACTGCATTCACCCTGAAGTGACTGCATTCACCCTGAAGTGACTGCCCCTGCATTCACCCTGAAGTGACTGCATTCACCCTGAAGTGACTGCATTCACCCTGAAGTGACTGCCCCTGCATTCACCCTGAAGTGACGACTGCCCCTGCATTCACCCTGAAGTGACTGCATTCACCCTGAAGTGACTGCATTCACCCTGAAGTGACTGCATTCACCCTGAAGTGACTGCCCCTGCATTCACCCTGAAGTGACTGCCCCTGCATTCACCCTGAAGTGACTGCCCCTGCATTCACCCTGAAGTGACTGCCCCTGCATTCACCCTGAAGTGACTGCCCCTGCATTCACCCTGAAGTGACTGCCCCTGCATTCACCCTGAAGTGACTGCCCCTGCATTCACCCTGAAGTGACTGCCCCTGCATTCACCCTGAAGTGACTGCCCCTGCATTCACCCTGAAGTGACTGCCCCTGCATTCACCCTGAAGTGACTGCCCCTGCATTCACCCTGAAGTGACTGCCCCTGCATTCACCCTGAAGTGACGACTGCCCCTGCATTCACCCTGAAGTGACTGCCCCTGCATTCACCCTGAAGTGACTGCCCCTGCATTCACCCTGAAGTGACTGCTCCTGCATTCACCCTGAAGTGACTGCCCCTGCATTCACCCTGAAGTGACTGCCCCTGCATTCACCCTGAAGTGACTGCCCCTGCATTCACCAATGGCCTTCCAGGCCCCTGCCCCGCCGTCCTCTCTGCAACCACTTTCTGAATTTTAGCCATTCTTCGCCTCTATTGTGGAATTATGTGACTCCACAGGAAGCTATGCACTTTATCACTTCTGGGACTACATCACGGGACAGGAGGTCACCCTGTACCACAGAGCCCAGCACCCAGGCGGGAGGCTCACACTCCAGACCTTGGAAAGACTACATGTAGTTCTGAGGGCTCCGGCCACAGGTGGCAGGAAGAATCTGGACAGAATCTGAGACCAATAGATGGGACAAACCCCTCAGAAGGCAAGGCTCCCATCTTAGCAGGGCCCGGCCACAACTCCCCAGAAACCGCTTTCCTAGAAGCTGGCTTCCCATGTAATTCCTCCTCCAGGGGTCATCTCAGGATGGACACAGTTAAGTGTTGTCTCCTTCGACTATATTTTTAGCTACAATTTTCACATTTGTTAGTGATGCCCACAACCGGCCCACAGAAACTCACAGAAAAATTCACGGAGATAATGAACAAATAAACCCTAGACATGGAGCTAGCCTCCCCCCTTCACAGGGGAAACTAAGTTCAATGGGTGAGAGATGTATCCAAAATCCTGCCATCAAGAGAAGCTGTAGCACAAACCTAGGCTTCCCAACTCCAGAGCGACTACCCCCAGCCCGGACATAGTGATGTCAACAGCTTAAATCTGAACATAGAGAAAGTCTTGGGAAGTCTGCAGCTGTTACTATTCCCTATTTTGTAACTGAAGAAACTGGGTTCCGGGGTTTTCCAGTGTCATGGAGCTAGGAAACACCACAGCCCATAAGTTGTTTCTCCCCCCTTTCAATACTGGGGGCTGAACCCAGGACTTCATATGTGATCAGCAAGTACTCCACCACCAAATAAATCCAAATAAATCCCCAATCCATAATTGTTAACCTGACAGTCAGGGTTCCTTCTAGAATAATCCAACACTTGCCAGAAAGGATGAGAGAGCCCTTGAGATCTCACTTCCTGTTCCTAGGGAGAACGGCTTCACCAGACTCCATGGACTGAACACCAATCTGTGAAGGAGGCCAACTGCTCTGCTGGTCATGGTGTTGTGTCTTTTAAGGACTGTCAAAGGACAACCAATGGTTGACTGCCATGTTCTACAAACAGAGTCCAAACCCTAAAACAGCTCCAGCCTTCTAAGCAAGGATGTGGTTCCACCACACAGCCACAGGCAGACAGCAGCAGCAGCAACAAAAGACAAAGGCGTGAAACGGTTCCTATGCCGTGTCTGGAGACCAGGGACGAGCCACTTGTGTCACCGGTGTCCACGGGAGGGCCCCGCAGGGCTGGGAGTGCTGAGGCCATTTCACAATGAAACCCATACAGCGAGCTCCGTTTATTTTGAAATGGTGTTTGCTTATTTTGCAGTCGTGGTCTAAAGGACATCCAGAGTACTCCCCAGGAGGCCCTTGAACCCCACAGTGCTTACCAGCTCCAGCAGCAATCAGGGGGAAAAAGTGAACTCCATCACCCGCCCTTTCTTTTTTAAACAATGATTTTTATGTCTAATTGTGTGTATGTACGTGTGTCTGGCATGCAGACCTATGCACACGTGAGTGCGGGTGTCCATAGAAGCCAGAAGGGGGGCCTGTGTGCCCTGAGGCTGGTGTTTGGGAGCAGCCCAAGGAACTAAACTTTAGAGCTGCTGGGCCATCTCTCCAGCCCCAGCCAATCTTTCTGAATAAATGCTGCCATCATTTTACCCAGCTCTCAATCCCAGAGCTGGTCCTACTGAGAGAGAATGAGGAGGAAGGAACAGAGATGTGGGGTGGGAAGTCACAGAGAGGTGGCCAAGGGAAGGCTTCTAAGCTGGGCGTAAGCTGTTTGCCTGTGCCCTAACCATCCCTAGCCCCAACACTCAGCACTTGGGGAGGAGAGGGAGGAAGAGTCAGTTCAAGACTATCCATAACTACATAGCAAGTTTGAGACCGGCCTGGGCTACATGAGACCCTACCTCAAAAGCCAAAGAAAAGGGGTAGGCTGGGGGAGACGTCTAGGTTTAAAATAATGTGGGGCCCTTTTATCATTTCTGCATAGTGACAAGAACTTAGACTGTCAGGGATCAGACTACAACCTGGACGTGTTATCCAACTTACCTGTGCCTCAGTTTCCCTATGTTTATGTGAGTTATAAAATAAGTACTGCCCATCTCTGTCTGAAAGAGGGATTTATGAGAATACTAGGCAAATAGGAACTGGAATACATAAGAAATACATTTGCTGCTTTTGTTTCGAGAATTCCAGATTGTGGGCTTTCTGCAGGCAGGGACCATGTGTCAGCTGCTGTCCTAGCTGAAAGAGGAGAGTCAGGTAGGCTATAGGAGATTCCTTAATGCCTGCTGGCTGAATTAAACTGTTTGAATGAGCTGACTGCCATGAGTTTTTCCCAGAGCCAGCCTGCCAGCAGAGGGAGTGGCTGCCTCAGATCCAACCCTGTGGGAAGCCACACCCACCTGCCACACCCACCCGCACTACCCAGGCCCTGTCTGAGCTTTACCTTAATGTTGCAGTTGTCATCAAGCAGTATATTCTCCAGCTTCAAGTCCCGGTGGACCACGCCGTTCTGCGATGAGAAAGCAGAAGAACTGAACAGGAGCGGGTGGAAAGACAGACAGCAAGAGAGCTGGGGGCTGTGGGGTGCGGGGGGCACGGGGGGGGGCAGGCTGACAGAGGAAAGAAATGCACTGGCCCGGGTGGTCTTCACCTCCATCCTTCAGGCCTGCTGCCCTGTCAGAACTCTCCCCAGACAGTGTCCAGCGACAGGAGAGCATTAGTCACTTGCTGTGTGGTTAAAGGAAAAATGACTGGAATCCATTCTCCCCCAGAGCCTGTAAACCGGCAGGGGGATTCTTTGTGGGAATGTAATTCCGCCGTGGGAGAGCAATATAATCCCAGGCGATGCAGACCCTGTCTGAGGTGGGGTTCCTGGGAAGCAGCAGACATCTCAGCTGGGGACTTGGAGCATAGGACTCCAGGGACAGCCTGCCTGCATGTCTGTCTGTCTGCCTGCCTGCCTGCCTGCCTGCCTGCATCCCTCATGCTGGAAAGGGGCCTGACCCAGTCTCCTAAACTTTGTCTGGGATACTTCCTAAGCAGTCAGCTGCAAAGACTTCAAAGTCCCTCTCTCCACTCTGCAGGAGTCAGAGCTGATGAAAAGGGGGGTGTGGTTGCAGGCCAATACGACCAGAGCCTGGGGACTGTCACACATTCAGGCAGGCTCTGACCATGCTGGAAGCTGAACTCCAAGCAGCTTAAGGGGAAGAGGACCAAAGGGTCGGGGGTGTGGCTCCGCCCAGCAGAAATGCCTGGCCTGTGCAAGTCTCCCAGGGCAGGTGGGCGGGAAGCAGAAGACTGAAGAAAAAAATGCTTGGGGGCTGTGTGGATGTGATGGGGACTGGGTTCCCAACATCACTGTGGGAATGGCTTCCTCAGAGGAAGCTGCTGTGTTGGGCAAACTGACGGGCATGACAATAGTTGGCTCTTTGTAATTTGTTTTTCTTTCTGTGTGACAGTTTCTAACATCTCCATAATTCCAGACTGGAGGGTGACTGAAAAACCAGGTCTCCTGGAGAAGAGACATGAGAACAGGCAAGCTGGTTCTGTTTAATTAAATACCGAGGGAAGCTTGGTTCACAGTCACATTCCTGGCTGACAGAAGATGGAACGAGTCTAAGAAAGTCCCATTCATACAGGAGCCACACGCTCACACACTTCAGAGAGCGGAAGTGCCGTCTGCGGTGCTTTCCAGTGTCCACAGAGGTCAATCAAAGGTGTGGGGTACACGTCTACAGAGACAGGCAGATCCTGAGGGCTCACTAGCAAGCCAGTCTAGGAGAGCTGGCAAGCTCCAGGTTCAGTGAGAGAGCCTGTCTCTAAATTAAGGTGGGAAGTAACTGAGGGGGACACTCGGCGGTGACCTCTGCCTCTATGTACATACACACATGGGACTTTTCTCTCTACTCGGCAAATCCTCCGCATGTGTCACAATGAACTAACAAGACTTTTATGATACTAAATGTGTCATGAGGTGTCAGACGACCATCTACAGCCAAAGTGGAAGGCCCCACCGTACCTTGTGACAATAGTGCACAGCAGACACGATCTGCCTGAAGAAGTGTCTGGTCTCCCTCTCGCTGAGGCGTCTCCGCTCGCTGATGTAGTCATACAGTTCTCCTTTGCTGGCATATTCCATGATGATCACAATCTTATCTTTGTTCTCAAACACTGTGGGGGAGGCGAGGGGAATAAACACTGTTAGTCAGCAGAACTAATTGTGACCACGGAGATGTCGCTGAGCCAGATGCAGGTGGGGTCACAAATCTGCTCCCAGCATCAGCAGGACTTGGGACAATGGCAGCTTCGCTCTGTCCCTGTGTTGCATAGTTGACAGAAACATACCCGGGTCGCATTTGCAGACCCCACTCCCGTTAACTCACCTACCCCTGCTTAGTTCTCGAGGAGAGGATAGAGGAGAGTTAACAACCCAAGTACAGGACTGTGGAGGCGGTTCAGGTAAAGGGGTTGCTGCCTGGATGTGAGGACCTGAGCTCAGAACCCTAGAAACCAGGTAAAAGTCAAATACAATAGCTCTACCCAGGGGACGGGAGGTGGAAGCTACATGAGCCAGGCTGGTTTACACAGCACCAGACCAGAGACTGGTGGACACAAGGTGGAGCGTGAGTGCCGGCTCCTAGTGAGGCTGTCCACTGGCCCCCACATCCACCACAGCTCGTATGCACCCACGCACACCTCACACACACACACACACACCACCAGCCATCTGATGCAGACCGGGCACCACAGCTCCAGCAGTCTCTCTGGCCCCCGTCCGTTACCCCTTTGCTCAAAACCATTTTTCATACAAATGGTTGTATGCATTTCACCACACCACAGTCCTATGGGCCCTGCGTGGACCTGTTTCATTCATTTAAACCTCACAACACACCACCGGGGAGTATTTAAAATTTTACCATTTGAAAGTCAAGGAAGAAGCTGATGGGGCCTGGGGACGCTGTGAGCTTTGCAGAAGCTGTAGATCCACCAGAGGAGGAGAGGAGCCGAGGAGAACCACGTAGCAGTGGCCCTGGCATGACTAAGGAGTCACAGAGCCAGCCCTGGGATGGAGTCAGGACCCCTGCAGTCCTCTGGATCCGGGTGCCCCTGCCTCCAGTCCCAGCCCCGTCTCACCCTACTCCTCCCGACACGGGCATCTTTTTCCACGCTCTTCGTCCAGGCTCTCTCCCCAACCACATAGTCCCGCTGTTATAGCCTAACTCAGGGTCCCAGACGGACACCAAAAGACAACACGGGGCAGAGAGAGAAAGCCAGGGAGGAGAGTCACCCCACTGCCACAGGAGCCTGAGAAGTCTTTACAGTGAAGACATGACTAAGCACAAGCATCTTGAGTGCATCCTTCCGAGAAGACGCAGAGTCCAGACCCTCCCTCCGCCCACCTCCACCTTGTCAGCTTCAGCCGTTCCCAGCCCACCTCTATGTCCAACAACCCAGAACTGCCCCTTATATTTCTGCTGCTCCCCCCTCCCTCAGCCCTCCCTGTCCTGGCCAGGGACACATCAATCCAGCCTTTGCTCATATTTATCTGCATATCACATGCTTCTGCCTCCTACACCCTGGCCCACGCTTGCCCGTGGCAGCTTACTTCCTGGTTATATATCCATTTTTCTCTGCCTGGACTCTGAGCTTGGGCTGAGAGAGCTAAAACCAAGGATTTTGTCCTTGCTGGCTGTGGAACTCTAGGAAATTGCTTACCTTGTCTGTGCTTTCCTTACACCAAATGTAAAATGTGAGTGAAATCAGAAAGCATTTCTTAGAACTGTTGGGGAAATGTACTGAGGAGAGGATGGTAGATGCTTATCACTCAGTAACGTTGGCTGCTACTGTTTTATTTTAATATTATTGGACCCCGGCACCTGGCATCAACATACACACATACAATGAGCAACCGAGTTGAATTGGACCCTGCCTAAGGCCTTGGTCCCCTGTCCTCCCAAACCTTGTCACTAGCTGTTAGAAGGTCACCCTCCCCGCCAGTTCCTTTCTGGCTCCTTCCAGTCCAGCCAACCCTTTCTGATAAAACGAATGGGAAGGAGGTAGGAAGCAGGAGAGGAAAGGGTACAGCCAGATAACACTGGCTGCCTGGGCGTCTGCTGGCCTCTGTACCCAGCCACTTTGGCTCCTACCAGGATTTCAGGATTTCAGCCTGGGGTGCACTTTTCATTAACTGTAAGTTCTGGGAAGGGGGAGGGGACCTCAGGGTGCATTGCTTGAGCTGCAAAAATGAAGGAGTGACATGCACAGCAGAGGCAGCAGCTTCCTAACCTTTTTTAAGGCAAGGAGAAGGAAGAAAAGAGTTAAGAGCTTTGACACCTAAAATAAATAAGAACCTCACCTCACAGACTCCGGAGCACCCCTTAAGGAGATTGGGACTGTCACCTGAAGTACAGGTTGCATGCCTCCCGCAGACAGGACTATCCCAGAGGCTGGCTTCTCAACTGCTGTCAACATCGCTCAGCGTGACAGATTTTTCACTAAGGAACTTCTGTTGGCATAGCCTGATGGTGTGACTTCCAAAATACACACTCTGGGTCTCCCTACAATTGTCACCCCACCACAGCTCCGTCGTCACTGGCTTCTAACCCTTCTCTGACACCCCAATGCCAAATGACCTCGAAGCAGAAGACCAGTGCGGTCTCTTCCTGGAGCACAGATCCTGCAAGGTGTTCTGGGAAAAAGACTTGGTGACTAAACAGAGCCTGGGCTCTGCTGCTGCTGGACATCAGGCTTTTCTTAGGTTCTGCAGGTGCACCAAGACACCTCCATGTTCTCACTGACATCCAGGGGAAGGGTTCGGGACACAGTATAGGAAACACTGGACATATATGATGGTGTCTCAGTAAGACCCCCCCCACCCCCTGGTTATGTGCAGTCGGCAAGGCCATCGAAGTCCCCATGTGGCTAGGCCTGGCTCTGGGACACCATCTGCACCGTCTGTAGGAGGCAGGCCAAGTTCACAGCCAAGGCTCAATCTCACATTAAGAGGAGTTAAATACCAAAGAGAATTCTGCATCGGAGAGCACAGTGGCTGGTCAAGGAGGCTCCTGAAGCCTCTTGAGTTCTTTCTTAACAACAGCACCATGAAGTGTAGGCCTACTATGTGCCAGCCCTCTGCTAAGAGGCACTGTGTGTGAATGATGTCATGTGGGTGTGAGCCTTTAACCCTCCTATGATGTAGAGAGCACACCAGCACCAGGACAGGACTGCCTGATGAGCCTCTCACCATCCAGACACGCCTGGCTCTCATCGAGCGATGGCCGAGAGAATGTGGGGGACAGGATCTGAGCTGACTCAGCACTGTGTCGGGTCTCACTTGAAGAACTTCGTCGCCCGTGTCTTGGGCAGCGCTTCTGAAACAGCTACTCCTTTTCCAGAATAGCCCAGTCCTCACAATGGCTAAGGGTAAGGTCTTGGGAATGGCAGACACTGAGGAATGACAAGTTTCTACACCTACACGTGAGGCTCCCTACCCATGATTAAGGTCACTACCACAGAAGTGGAAGGAATACTCAGGACCATTCTTCTCACAAAATGGGCTGTTCCTCTCGGGCACTCTTACAGCTGGTTATTTATAAGCCCAGAAGTCTTGTCTGTGTTTATGTTATTAGTCACTAAGCAAAAGCTTATTTTTCCATCACTTGGGAAGGGTTTCCTTTCTCAAAAATGAAAGCCTGTGCCTCTTGGCCAGACGATTTTACCCAGAAGCGTGTTGGCCCCATGATGGTAAGGAAAACTGCTGTGGCCTGGACATGCCAGGTCTACCAGGAAACTGCAGGCCCTGAACAGAAACTTAGCTCAGCCTGAATCAGCCCACAGCACTGGGCCAGGACCCTGAGGGGTCCAACCTGCGTTTCAGTAAAGCGGCAAAGCAGTGTAGAGCACCTACTATGTAGATGGCACTGGAGATAATTAAAGAAGATGCTACCAAGTCGAGAGAGGGAGAGGACAGGCTTGCTGGAAGGAACAGCACGGGAGAGCAGCCGACTGTTACTGCTACCAGCCTCTGGCGAGTCCCAGGGAGCAAGAAGTCAGAAGGGGGCTATGAATGAAACGCTGAGGCAGCGAATACCCACGAGAGGCTCCGGGCAGCCGAGCAGGTGAGAAAACGCTGCCAAGACGACAGAAGAGAGTGAAACGAAGGCCAGAGTAGCTTCAGGAGTCCCGAACCTCTGAGGTCGTTCAAAGCGCCTGTCCTGTCCTCCCTCCACAACGTGTCAGCACCTCTCTACCCGTGACTGCACGCCACACACTCAGCACTGGCTGACCACAATGATCCTGTGAAACTCGCACAGGGACCAGCAGCTTGGGACCAACGGGGTAGCTTCCTTGGACTTCAGAGTATCTGCATATACAAAATGACATACCTTGAGGGACTCCAGTCTAAACACAAAATCTACTTTATTTCATGTACGCCTCATACAGATAGGCTGAAGGCAATTGTGCTGGTTAATTGCCACAACTCAAAGGCCACCCGAGAGGGAGCCTCGGCTGAGCAATTGCCTTCATCAGACTGGTCTGCGACCAGTCTGGGGGGCATTTTCTTGTTAGTTGATGGAGAAGGCAAGCCCACTGTGGGCGGGGCGGCCTGGGAAGGTAGCCCTGGGATGGACAAGGAAAGCAGCTGATGACAGTCTGAAAGAAGCCAGGGAGCAGCACTCCTCCACGCTTCCGCTTCAGGTCCGCCTCCAGTTCCTGTCCCGCCTTCGCTCCGTGATAGACTGTACCAGGTAAGCTGAGATCAACCCTTTCCTCCCAGGTTTTGTGTTTTTGTTATGGTGTCTATCACCCCAAGTTAAAACAATAACCCTGCCCAATAACTTTGTAACTGTGGGTTTAGAAACTGCCCAGCAGTTTCATGGTATGGGATTTTCCATGTGTGGTCTATCACCTTGGTGCTTCAAGCATGTCAGACTTCAGATTTTTGAATCAGGGATGCTCAACCTGTGTCGACAACCCCATTTCATAATTGGAGAACCATTACTCCCACCAAGGAACAACACTGACAGCATCCTTCAGTCACCGCACTCTGTCCCCTCTGCCACTAACCATCTCCCTGGGATTAAGTAAGACAATATCATGGTGGCTGGAGAGATGGCTCAGCAGTCAAGAGCACTGACTGCTCTTCCAGAGATTCTGAGTTCAAATCCCAG